TTTTCACCGAGCTAACGACTCAACTAACTGCATGTGATACGCGAACAATAGAACACGTTAAAACACCTACACTGAATATTTCATTTAGAGTACTTAATATAATTTTATCTTGATGATTGGTCATCAGCTTTTGTAATCTTTCAATTTCTTTCTTCAGATATTCATTTAATTTTAAAACTTTCGTTTCATCTGCTTTGCCTGCTTGAGCAAGTTTATTCGAGTGACGTTTCGTCAGCGTCTCCTCAGTAATATCAGAGCCGAAATGAGCTACACAAACTATAATACGGAGGATTCAAGTGCTACCAGTGACAACTTTGCTAGTTTTGACACTTTTGTGAACATTATCAAGTTCTGTAGCTGATTCGTTGATTAAACGAATCATTTCTTTCCTATTTTTAAAAATCATATCCAGTATTTCTAGACGCCTCCGATTGGATAACTTCTCAGGAATATTATATGACAGGATTCTTGTGTCATCAGATACGAATCGATAAAGTAAATAGAATGAATTCTGTTTAGCAAGTCAGCATATTTTTATCATCGTCTCCAGCTCACAGAAAAGCCAAATTACATCATTCTAATAAATTCTTATATTTTCTCTATATAAACAATTATATTAGTGTTTACGTTGATGCACCCAACAGAAGTCTGATGGAAAAAAATTGGTGGATTTTACTATTCAACAGAGAACATCGAAAACCACAAAAATCAATTCGGATTGAATTTTCAAGCAGATTTCACATTCAATAATTTCATAAAACTTTGAAGTTCGATTTCAAATTAACTTCCGATCATTGGATAGACAAAATTCTCATCTTTTTTTGATATATGATACAAAGCCAATATCTCTACTTTATATTATTGTTAGCAATGCCTACATAAATAGTAATATGTTTAAATCTCGCGCCCGTAATTCACATTTCGAAATCGAATATTGCAAATGACAATTACGTAGAAGCTTGATGATTTCATAAGTAGAATCAATTCTTTTTCATGCGACTTTTTCGAACCTTTTTATAGCGAAACCGGCGTATTAATAAAACAATCCTCTATTGGACTAATTTGTTCGATGATTTGTAAGCTCTTTTAGCGTAAACAAAGAAAACGCTGTCATCGGTAATGATATTAAATTCCAATAGGATGACATTTAATGCAACATCAGCATAGTTTGACTTAGTATACGCCATATTTGTCTATTAGTTACTCGATACAACTCTATTTTCTATTGGATTAACATATCTTGTATTTTACGTGCATTTTACAACGAGAGCAGATACAATAAAAATATTTGATCGTATCAAAGTACTTGTTATGCGTTCTATTTTCTATAAAACTTCATCGATAAACTTATCATGCGGTTAAATAATCGATGGATCTGTTCCACACGGTTTAACAAAATATTTAAATAATTTCTATTAGGATTAAAAAAAGAAACTGTTTTTCGTTTTAGTACAATATTTAATTGGAAGACTATGGTGTCGTTTCATGCTCATTTTTTTCTAGGATTCAGTACATTTCTGATTGAGCCATGATTTGGCAGTTTGCTAAAATGAAGAAAATACATAATAAAACTAATTTGAGGATGTAAGTATTGTTCAATTTTATCCACACCCTCAGTGATTTCTGATTTCATTGAATGATCGTCAAACGAACCGTAAAGAACAAATAGCGATACGCTTAGGGACTAAGAAAGTAGATTGGTGTTTGAATCTTTTAAATTGAAAACAGATATCGTATAATATAGGATTATGACAAAGCCTTCAATTTCAGTTTTTCTTCAAATTCACCTCGATTGAAAGGTTAGTCAGTATCTGATTCGAAACAAAATATTCACTCGGAGAAAAATTTTATTCATCGTCTTTACAATAATTTGTGCTATTTTCTTTGTTGTCTCTTCATATCTACGTACATATATAATAATTCTGCTTTCTCATCATTTGATTTATTTGATTAAGAATCAAAAATTTAAAAAAAAAAGCCTGAAAACATGTAACTCAAGACGAATAGCTAAATATTCCATTTTACTATACTCTATTGACGAAAGAAATACAATATTCTCTACAGTCGTCGAGTCTAAACTAGATCTTTTATCCTTAAAAGCAAAGCCTACTAGCGTATACTTCTCTTTGACAACAACTGAATAATAGAATAGAGAATATATGCGACATGCTAATTAACTCCGCCTCGGAAAACGGTCTCGTTTCGATCCCTACTGCGGAAACAATTAAAATAGGGCCATCCGTCATAATTGTCAATCACGCACTCGTTTGGAAGTAGAACGGAACAAAAAACTTATTTTAACATTGATACACAAAAAAATACTCTTTGATTCCGATTATTCCATGACATCATATTTACTTTTCTTGACTTTGTCGGAAGCTATTTAAAAGCAAAAATTCAAAATTTATACAGAATTATTCATTTCTGAATGGGTCTCTTCAAGATACGAATATATTAAATTACCACCGATAGACCGCCGTCACATCCTATGCATTAATTGAGTCATGATACATAATAATTATCCGATAAAATAGCTCTATGTGTATATTCAAGTAGATAATTGTTCATAAAATAAACCTTAAAATATTCTAAAAGTAGCTTAATAATCCGAATATGATTTTCAAGCATTCTATTACTAATTATCGAATGAATTTATGCCATACAAAAATAAAGGCTGGAAAATTTCCTTATTAATCATGCGAACCTACGCAGCTAGGTAGTAATGCTTGAAAATAAAATGTTTTCTCTTGTGTACTTTCCTAGTTTATATTGGCCCTAAATTGATTGTGACATCCACCATAACTAGAAAAATGCATTTCATAGCTATTCTTCTACATCTATTTGTGCAATTATATTATCATAATGTCGTCATACCATTATTTATTCCACTCTCATTAGCATGTGAAAGCGCGGCATAGATTACCGGATATAAACGAGCACATAACTTCAGTTGAAAGCTATTATATAATTCAAGAAAAACGTACTGTTGAAACAATATTTTTCCTCTTCTACAAATAGGTAATAACAAAAACATGCACGCATTTTCTATTTCGTCAATAGTTTTTCTAAAATGATTAGTAAAATTACAGTTTGAACTATTCAATGCATATAGAATGGTTGAAGCTTGTTGACAAGTAACTACTAGTTCAAATTTAGCAACACTTACTAATCACGAAACATGTCAAATCATACTTTCACGCGATGATGTCTACGAGCAACAATGCAAGCAATGTCAAGAGCTATCTCATTTCACAAGCGTCAGTTCGTATAACTGACATATTCAATAAAGTTAAGTAGTGTTCTGATGAATTTATATCGAATGACGAAAAGGCTTGTTTTCTAAAAATATTTCCTTTTCATCATTATTAGACTAATTTTGCTGCAAGGATCGAATATGTCAAATAGATCGTTATGATATAATAATAAAATAAAACTAATGAAGCATTTGAATATCTACCATATGGTATAAATAACAATTTATTTTAGGCTCAATAAGTACGGCATTTACTATATGCGTTCGGCGAAAGATAATCACGAACTGCCTAAGGCTATTGTTCATCATTACGAGATGATCGTTTCAATTAATCTAGGGAGAAAAAAAGCATAAAACCTATTTATAATCCCATAGTGTATAATTTAGCTAAAAACGCATTCAACAAATTTGATGATTAATTTCTCTTACAGTAAAGTACCTTTATTGCATTGTTTTTCCTTCACAAATGATTTAGCTTTCAGCCCATTTATTATAATTATTAAAAAACAAATAATTTTTCAACTAACATAGTTCTAACAGGCAGTCTTAGCAACAAGTCTATTTCACTCAACATTATCGATTTTTATCGTACGGATATTGTTTATTGATTAATATGAATTTGATTTACTATGATTAGGCAACCATATCATTATTTTAGCATTGTTTATACTGCAGTTTTCAGACAAATTACTTTTCGAAGGACTATCACAATTACTTATCTACTAGCTCGTTTTTGCCGTCTGAAGAAATCTCTGATTGTTATGCGTGTTCTATGGCACATTAAACAGCAGTAAACGAATGGGTCTGCATTATTGACATTAGTTCTTGTTACGCTTAGTATTTGACATTCCGCTATCAGTTCTTCCGTGTAGATAATATTTACAACTTGGCGTTCGATTACACTCGAAAACAAACATATTAGCTATTTGCAGATCAGAGTAATAGATCCAGTTTAAGATAGAATATGATGCAGTCGATCGGTATAAAATTTTATTAACAAGATTGAACTCGTCATTTCACGCTATTAGTGAACAGCGTAAAAAGAAAATAGAAGAAATAAAATTTGCGTTTTCAGGTAATTACTTTTCTCTACAGTATTACAATTATGTACGTTTCATGTAATAATTAAAAAATTGATAAGTTAAAATAAAAATGCTTTGTTTTTTTTTGTTTTCACGAAATGGAGAATGTATATAAAAATATTAGTAACAAGAAAAGTCAAATACAACGGAGAAAAACAACTTTAATTTCGCTAGTCTATAATTTCGACCTTGTTTCCTAGGTGAAAAAAGAACACTCAAAATTACGATAGCACGAAATCGAAGAGTTTTCAAAAATATTTTGTTTTATTTTGTTCCTAAAAACATTCTCATTCATTTACTATTGTCAGTGAATATTTTCTTCAAAAAATATTTAAATCTTTCTTTTTTAGATGACATTTACTAGCGTCATCTGCTTAAAAATATCACGCGCACCAGATTTGATCTCTTCATAGATTGGTTCTTGTTGCTCAATCGATCTTCTATACCGATCGATATATAGTTAGATAGACAAACAGGTAGACGTAAAAATCACGTTGAATCTTGTTTGAAGTTTTCATCATTGCTCAGTGAAAACTAGTGAGTAAAAACAATCAGTTGACTCATTTGCGTTATTTCTGAATTTATTTTTAGTTTCTAAATGATTCAATTTCTCGTAGTTTAATGTTACAATGAAAGACAATATTTTCGAGCACCAAATAGTAAAAATGAATAAAAACTCTGAAATTCTCTCAGGTTAGGAAAAAATAGTTGCATAAAACTAAATAGCTACTCTATTTTTGTTTCATGATAGATGAACAAAATAGATCTCCGATGATGATTCAGCTGGCTAGTTTACGAAGGCTAAAAGAAGTGAGTTTATTTCAGTTTTTGTAGGAAATTTTATTTTTACTTTTTTTGTTGTTGTTGATTAGGTCGGTTGGTATTGGGGTCCATTGAGTTGGATTGAAGCTGAACGATTACTTAAAGATAAACAAGATTATTCATTTATTGTTCGCGACAGTAGCCATCGTCATTATTTTCTAGCTATAACATTTAAATCGCAAGGCAACATTCATCATACTCGTATAGAACACAGTAACAGTACGTGGTCTAACACAGTTTTTTCCCTAGGATTTATATGATTTTATTTTGTTTTTAGATTCATTTAGTTTCTATCATGGAACTTCGAAATCACAATGTACATCACCAGATATAGTAGAATTTATAGAAAATACAATTGAACATTCAAAATCGGGTCAATTTATGTTTTTTATTCGATCAAATATACCCGGTATGAGTTGAAACCAACGAATTCTTCTATACCTTATCGTTTGATGAAAGAGAACAATTAGAACATGCCGATACTTGTTTGATAGATGAGGATTGATTGCTTGAGATTTGAATGGCCTTGAGAGAAGAGTCAATAGGCAATTTAATTGAATAGTCTATCTAGTTCTACAAACATTGAATACGAAGAAACAAAAAGAGTTACAGTAAAAATGAAGAGCGATACTAGACTGACAAACGTTTGAGAGTATCAAATCGTTATTGGACCTGCCATCGAGAAGTCTATTTTTGGATATGCTCGATGATCAAGTTATTAGAGTTTTACTAGAAAATAGTTACAACTTGTCCTTGATTTACAAATGCAAAAAATAAGCATTCATTCTAGTTAAAACTTCAATAAATTTCCAGGAAAACATGTTCGTGAAGAAGTTGAATAACTCGAGTTTCTTTTTTTCTCTCTTGCTGTAGGTCAACCAATGACACCTGTGCGTCTTCTATATCCAGTATCACGTCTTGCTTATATGCCATCGTTAAAACACATAGCCCGGTTTGTAATACATCGACACATAAGCCGAGATCTTATCGACGATCTTGATCTTCCACGACGATTGAAATCATTTTTAAAAGAAGCCCAGATTTATACGGAAAATATTCCATCGTCAGATGAAATAGCGGAAACTTGAAATTGTTTTTGTTATCCAAGAGAAAAAAAGAAGTTTCTTTACTCAGTGCCTTATTTTACGGAGAAAAAAACAGCAGAAATTAAATCAAATATAACAGTCTTTTTGTTTTTCAATTGTGCGTGATTTATTCTTTATGTATTTTTGTTTTGATAATGTGAATATAATACAAATGAGAAAATATGTTGTTTTTATTCTTTGAATTTACCGCCATCGCTTATATTTATTTTTTTTTCAATTTGTCTGTTGAATAATGGATAGAACAGAAAGAATATTTATGATAACAAAAACGTTTTCATCAATAAATACAAATGCTATTGAGTTAAATACGAATGATAAAACAACTAATGATATTGTTTTATTACAGCAATCAAAATGTGAACCATTTCATTTGAGAAATATTTGGATTTTGTTTCTGTTAGTTTTACCGTTGAGTGGAATTCTGATTGGTTTTTTATTTCGAAACGATTGCCCGTTACAAAAATATATTCCACTATGGGCGATAGTTAATGGTTTTCTAACAGTCATTTTTCTTATGTTAATATTTATAACAAGAGGATTTCTTCAAGAAATTCAACATCGAAATTGCACATTACTTGTTATTGAAAATTTTAAAGTTGTATTAATTTTTTTTCTTTTTCTGTGGTTTATTCGTGGAAATGTGAGTTGATATTGTTGATTATTTTCGTTTCTAAAACTATTTTCCACCAGATATGGGTCTATCAGTGTTTTAAAATGGTGCAATATGAAAAAGAAATACCAGCAAATGAAAATTATTATTGTCATAAAATCGCTTATCTATACGCATTTTGGTATATGACAACGATCTATATTTTGTTGTGCATTTGTTTCATATTGCTTATTTTTTCTTTAATTCATAACTGTTTATCTAAGTAATGAGAGAGAACAACATATTTTGTGTAAAACTATACATTTATATTTTTATTCTAGATCCGAACAAATAAAGTAGCAAAATAGTATTCGCTATTAATTTCGCGCGAAAAATGATCGTCACGTTTGTGACCGGAAATAAAAATAAACTAGCGGAAGTTCAAGCGATATTAGGCGATGTATTACCAAACTTAAGATCAGAAGCTGTTGATTGTAAGTATTCGATTAGAAATAAAGAGACGTGCTTGTTCAAATGAACATTTTTAGAAATAAGTTTCTATTTTTGTTGACATTGATTATCAGTAATTGTGTCCTATAAGATCACGCTTTAGTTAAAAAACATTGTCTAGTATTGCAAAGATTTCTTCATATTTATTTGACTGAATGTTTTCATAAATTTAATGAAACATTATTGATAAAATCTGTCAGGAGTTTCTATTTCTCCCTCGATATTTTGCAGACACATTTTTGATCGACTTTCAAATTAGGTTCTATTCTAGTTTTGAAGAAAATATGCAGCCTAGCATTGATATCTTTAGCTGTTGTTTATAGGTATCGAAATTATATCGAACCTATTTTTATATGAAGAATTATTAATATTAAATAATTTATTTTTGTTGGTTGTTCTAGTGCCTGAATATCAAGGTGAAGCAGAAGATATAACAAAAGAAAAAGCCATATTTGCAGCTCAACGTATTAATGGCCCTGTTCTGGTTGAAGATACTTCTCTATGTTTTAATGCTTTACACGGTCTTCCAGGTCCATATATTAAATGGTTTTTAGAGAAACTAGGCCATGACGGTTTAAATAAAATGCTTGCGGCTTACGATGATAAAACAGCATATGCTCAATGTACATTTGCATTTTGTGCTAAACCATCGGACATACCGATTATATTTACAGGTCGTTGTCCAGGACGTATTGTTCCAGCACGTGGACCAAATACATTTGGATGGGATCCAGTATTTCAACCAGACAATGAACTAGGCCAACCGGGTGATAAGACATTTGCTGAAATGGATAAATCGATAAAAAATCGAATTAGTCATCGAAGTCGATCATTGCAATTAGTTAAAGATTATTTTGCACAGCATCCAGAATATTTTTCATAATGATGTTTTCATTGCAGTTTATATGAGAATGTTTTTCTTATTGTCTGTTACAGAAATAAAAATAAAACCTGATAATATGCACCATTGATTCGAGATGACTGTACTTTTTTACGTAAGAAAAAAAACCGACTACATTAGAGAACATAAAAATAATGGGACTGTGATTTAAAAATAACCAGAAATATAGCTGTATGAATAAGATAAAGGTTGTTGAAGAAAATGAATACATTTTACGCCATTACATACAATCGCATCATGGAATCATTATTTCATAATCAAACTTACAATAGGCTGTTTATCATATACATAGAAAAACATGACCGGTGGGAAACAATATTCAGTTTTGATTTTTTCTCTAATGATTCCTTCATATCTTTCATCGTGCGTTCCATCATCCCGTCAATGTGGATGTTCAGTGGTACAGCCTAATACTGTCGAATCGAAAATTGTTGATGGCTATATGGCTCGTAATAATTCATGGCCATGGATCGGTGAGTAGTTCAGTCACATAAATCCATCATGCTTGTTTAACACATTGAATAAAATAGTAAGTCTTCGTCGAGGCAAAGCAAACGATCCATCAACAGTTCCCGGTTTCAGTTTTTGTGTTGGTTCTTTAATTAGTAGCAAATATGTATTAACAGCTGCCCATTGTTTTGCTACTGTTTCTGCGTCACAACTGCGAAAATATTTTGTTGTTATTGGTGCTGTATATATAAATGATACCAATGAGCAGCGTTATAAAATAAAAACTGCTACAGTGCATCCGAATTACAATGCTACAACTTATGGCAACGATATTGCTCTATTAGAATTACAAGATCATGTTGATTTTAGTGATCCAAGAGTTGGATTTATTTGCTTGCCTCCAAACAGCCTATCAACATATCCAAGTGAGCCACTCATTGGCTTTGCAGTAGGTTGGGGACTTTTAACGGAAGGCGGCTTACCTTCGTATACTCTTCAACAAGTAGAATTACCTATTATATCAGATACAAATAAATTTTGTCAAAACCTTGTCGCAGATGATGCGGTGCAATTTTGTGCAGGTTATCTCAGCGGTACTAAAGATACATGCCAAGGTGATAGGTAAAAGAATGAATATTTTTAAGTAGTAGGTTTTCTTTTAATATTTATGAACTATTTTAGTGGTGGTCCTTTGATGATTCTTGATAAAAATAGTGGCACGTGGATTGCTGCGGGAATAACATCTTATGGTTATGGGTGTGCCGAAGTAGATCGTCCGGGTGTGTACACTCGTGTAAGCATGTATAGAGATTGGATTGATACTCACATAAACTCTGCGCAACCTCAATCTCGAGCGTCGACAAAAGCAGTACCTTCTGTTATATCATTACTTTTTTCATTTCTTTTATTTCTCAATATATAAATAAAAAAATATATCGATTCACAAAAGCAAGCATGATGTGTTAAATAATATTTAATTCTCATTAGAGGAGCCTTTTTGTTTCTCGTAAATTGTTTGATCAATTTTGATGACAATGAGGTGGATCTATATTTATAAAAAAAAAGATGTATTACATTTGATAAATACTATAATTATTTACCGAATCGATCAGTGTTGAAATCGGGTTCATAAATTGCATCATCTGGAGATTTTGACGCTAAAGTGGGTGGTATACCAGTAAAATCCTTTGGTTCCCCTGTTAGCTCGTCAAATCCTCCATTCTCATTATGGCTTGGTTGTGACTTTTGGTTCGAAACGAGAGAAATGGAAACGATGAGGTGCTGAAAAAACACCAACGGCAAAAACAAACTAAAGAAAATTTTCTGATAAATTCAGAGGCTAAAATCATGTGTTTACCAATGCAAGAATAATCAATAGGGATCTCATATTTGTATGAATAATTGAATGAAATCTATCAATTGGATCTGCGTATTGATATAGATTTTTCCTTATTTTTTTTGTTGCCCACTCATTCTTTCAATGTTTTTTGTCTTGATTTCAAATGTACTTTTCCATATTTGGGTTCTTAAAACAGCACGGATCACTTTGTTTCTAGTTTATCAATAGGTCATGTAATGAGTCATAGAGGTGAGTTTATTATCATGATTTAGCAATATCTCCATTTATTTTCGTCGATATTATATCATGTACTTTATCATGCACTAAAAGATGTCTTTTATTGCAGAAAAAAAGAACATAAATTCATTATATCTCAATTAAAATGACCTTGAGCAATTGAATAAGGACTACGGAAGATTTGTATTGATCCAATTTATAAACGAATGAAACACAAAACAAAAAAGGACACCGTTTGATCCTTCAATAATCTCCATACGGTAAAGATCAATTTAATGTGTAAGTTACTCTTTTGTTCTTTCGTTTTCGAAATCGAATTTCATTCGAACACTTTCACCGATTAGGCAGTATATATTACACGTCGCTTGCGTGCTCATCAATAAAATTTATTTAGAATAAATGTGTGAAGAATAAAATCGCTATGACGAAAATTTGTTCTTTTTTTTCTCTTTATTCGAACTAGAAAAAACGAAAATTCAATTAGTTCATGAATAGCGATTTCCTATTCAATTTGATCTTCTATTTCTTTTCGCTTTTCTCGTATCAAAGCATTTTTTCTTCATACAGAACAAGGCCAAAGGAAAAAACTCAGCTGTATAAAATCAACATCCTGCGTCTTATAGCATGATGAATGATTAAAATAATGCAAACGAGTCTGCATCTTCTCTGACAAATGTAAAAATTACAAAGAAAAAGAAGCAGTTTCTCTTTTTTTTTCTTTTTCTCTTTCTGTCACAGAACCGAAGAACAGAATAAAAGTAGACGAGTCGAGAAAAAAAACTGCACCAAATAACTGTAACTTCTAATGAATTTTCATTTTTTTTTCTCTTTACATCAACACATGTTTCACTATAAACGATGTATCAGCTGACTAATATAGTTGATGAAGGAGTAAAAAGTCAATGATGAACGATTTCAGGAATTGATATCGATGATGTTCAATATTTTATTTCTATATTACATTATGCAATTGAGTCTTGGTATTACGCTCGTCGATGCTGAGGAGAAATCTAAACATCAAAGGTATCAGAGTTTTTTTAATGGACCGCAAAGCTTTTATCAGCAACATCAAATGAAAAATATTGATAGTCAAAAGTGGTATTATTCATCGGATCAAAAACCATTAACTTATTCATGGTATTGGACAAATCAAGATGTACCTTCATCGAATTTTTTAAATTCATTCGCTTCGAAAGATGCCGATCCGTTATCAAATAGAATGTGTGGAAGAAGTCCAATGGCTAATCGATTCGGACGTATCATGGGCGGACAAGATGCTGTACCTCATTCATATCCATGGATGGTTTCATTAACAAAACGATCATTAAATAATTTGCATTTATGCGGTGGAGTTCTTATTACTAGATTGCATGTGCTTACAGCAGCACATTGTATGGAAGATTTCGATGGAATCAATGATTTAAATATTGTAGCTGGCAATCATTTTAGTACTGACAAGAGAAATCCAGCATCAGTCATAGCAATTACTGTACATCCACAATATAATGCCGATACATTTGCTAATGACATTGCTATTGTAACACTTCGTTCCCCATTACCTGACAATGATCAACGTATTGGTATAATATGTTTACCACCTGATGATATGCCAGGTAAAATTTATCCGCCTATGAAAATATCCGGTGTTGCCACAGGATGGGGATCACTCTCGTTCGGCGGCGATCCATCCACAACACTTAAACAAGTTGTTCTACCAATTCTTGATGCATCTAAATGGCCATGTAGTACATATATTACTGATTTGCCTGGACAAATATGTGCAGGACAACTTCAAGGTGGCGCTGACACATGTCAAGCTGACTCAGGTTTTATTCAAATACCTTTGTGTGTTTGGAACGCTCAATTTCTATTTATTTCAGGAGGTCCATTGATGATAGAAAATGCTGATAGTCGTTGGGAAATTATTGGCATAACATCATTTGGTAAATCATGGTAAGTCACGTGATTAAAAAGAGAAGAAAAGTTGATATTCAAGAAAATATCGTTTTTATGTCTTTAGTGGTAAGCCTAACACGCCAGGAATTTATGCACGTGTTGCCACTTACAATAGTTTTATTAAATCAATAATTGGTCGCTCAAATTACAGTCCGTATTATTCTTCTTTTTCATCTTCTTTTTCAACTTCTTCTCAGTTATGTTCATTGAACAGATTTTTATTCAGTGCTATTTTATTTATAGTATTTTTTTAGTCTAATTAAACAGAAACCAAGAGGTTATGTTGTACATTTTGATTAGAAAATTTTTTTGTTCTGTTTTTCTTCTTACGTCGATGCAAGTGAATAAAGATTTTTATACATATATCGTTGATTCTTCTCCTCACTTTTTTTGCCTCTTTTCTCATCGTCGCATCGATGTGCTAGACCTATTGTACGTACGTTTCTTTTTATTGACAGAGAAAAGAGACCATTTAACAATATATCATCATAAAGAGAAGGTGCGCAGCAAATATTTCAGGGTCTTTAAACGCGTTACACTTATATATGTGTAAATGTGTATTTTTCATGCACAATTGAAGAAATGAAGAAAAAAAACGAAGTGAAAATTGAAAGAAAGATAAATGTATATGTATATGTATATATTTGATTAAACAGCCACCTCATCATCGTCATAATACTATAAAAAAAAATATGAATATTAGTTTAGAGAAGAAAACAACAACTAAGAAATAAATAGTAATTAGAACCTCTTCATCATCACCATCTTCGTCAGCAGAATCTGGTTCAAGACCAGTATCGATTTTCGGACGTGCATACCATTGAAGTTTCTCATTAACAATCTGTTCGAAATAAAATCCATATGAAAGCTATGATACGAAAGGAGTGTGTTTATTACCGATCGTGAAGGAAAAAAATTTGGATCGTACGAATCATTGTGTGCATCGATTTTTGGTTGAGCAGTCCAACGCGGTAAATTATTGACAATCTAGATGCAACGTTAAATATCGGTAGGTGAACGATTGAAAAAAGATTTACAGTGGACACGTGGACATGTCAAAACGTTGACTCTACCGGAATGTTAGCTGAAATATGTTCATCATTTTTTAAACTCACTTTACGTTTAGGTTGGTCCTTCAAACTCTCAACATATCCGTCATTACGAGCATCAATTTTCGGCGCTTTTGTACCCCATTTAAGTTTTTCTCGAAAAATCTGTAGAGAAAAATTTTTTATATGCTTTTAAAATAAGAAATATATTCCTATTACCATAGGCGTTGATCGTTTTTGTCTTATTCGTTCAATATAGGCATCATTTCTTTGATTAACACGTGGTTTTTTGCTCCATACAAATTTTCGATCTTCAATTGGCTAAAGAATAAAAATGAGTTCGTCAATGATTGAAAATCGAATTTTGATTTCATACAGGTAATTTTGCTGATTTCTTTCGTTTTCTAAATTCCTCAAAGTCTGGATTATGATGATCGATACGAGCTTCTTGATTTCTTGACGTGTAATCCTGTGGAAAAACCTACAATCAAACAAAAGATATATAACTGAAAACAGTTTCAAGACAAATGTTACTTGAACAAAGGATTTTTCTCTTCGAAGATTTTTGTCACGTTGTTTATATTTAGCATAGTCTTCATTGAAATGATCAATTCTAGGAAAAGATGGCCATGAAAATCTTTCATCATAGATCTTTTTTTCAAACAAAAACGAACAAATACTAAGAATAATTTTCTTGAAAATAATCTTACAACTGGTCTTGGCGTCCTTTTAATTTGCTCAATAGCTTCGTCATTGTGCGAATCAATTTTCGAATCTGCGTGCCATCTGAGTTTTTCTTCATAGATCTGTTTTTGTTTGAAATTAAAATTAATAACTAAAATCAAGAATTAAAGAAATAATATACTTGCGGCTTTGGTGCTCGGAGAAGATGTCCAGGGAATTCTTCATTGCGTGTATCAATTTTCGATTTTGCACTCCATGTCGGTTTTTCATGGTATATCTTTAAAAATACAATTTAGAATTGTTCGTTATTCATTGAATGAAGAAATAACAGATAATATGAAAGTTTCTAGGCAAAATCTTCCCATCAAATGTGAGTGTCAATAGGGAAATTTAAAGTATTGATCTTATATTGTATCGATTAGAAATGATGCCTGAATATTTAAAAAACAAAAAATATATCATGGATGCATGCCATTGAACTAAGGCATCTAGAATTATTCTCATGATAGTGTTAATATTTTCATCTGAAATCATCATGGTATTTTATTGATAAGTGAAAAAAAAGGTCCTGATTATTCCGACTGATTTTTATTTTTGGATAAATATTCGGTCTTTTCCTACAAACGCAAACATATCTTTCACGATAATAATATTCTAATTGCATACTTTCTACTTCCAAACTTTTGGTATAGGATAATGAGCGAAATAGTCCAGTATAAAATAAGTGAAGATGTCAAAGTCTCACAGAAATCCTTCGGCAAAATGTATTACTTGACATTTTCTACTCATGAACTTAATCAATCGAAAAATGAAAGTGTATTTTGTCGAGAAACTTTCGTACTACGGGCTATACCTCAGGTTTAGGTGCTCGAAGAATATTTTCGACGACTTCTTCATTGTGTGTATCAATCTTTGGTTTTCCACTCCACGAAAGTTTTTCTTCATATATCTTTTTCTTTGGAGTATTAAGAATTTTTTCCATAGCATCATCATTTCGAGCATCGATCTTAGGATTGGCAGACCAATCAACTTTTCGTTGAAAAATCTATATGAAATAGACAATTGAAAGCAATTCTATCGCGATCGATAATTACGTAGATACATACTTTAACAGTCGATTTAGGTCTAACGTAGCGAACGCGTCGTCGTGATGAGTCTCGCTTTGAAAAAACAAACAATAAACAGAATCACTTTGAAATAAAATTCTCATTACGCGTCTCTCAGTATCCCGGTATGATTTTCTATCTGTTGAATCCAGATAGGATGTATCATTTCTGCTATTGTGAACTTCATAATTGTCTTCATCTTCATGATTGTTTTCTTGCTCTTCTATTTCTCCTTCTTGTTCTTCTTCTTCTTTGTCGTCGTCGTAGTTTGCTTCTGTTTGACTAACTTTTGCTGATTGTTTTGATCGTCTTGAACGCCTAACTGGGGACGATTTTTCGGTTGCACTCGACCGATTAGGACGATCAACAACATCATAATCTAATATGTTTCCACGACCATCTGTTTGAAGAACAACAATCCTCTAGATAAAACAATATTGCTAGTCCGATTTATTAACTTTTCTATACTCTTTTCATACCTCACTGGATCGAGCGCGTGGCATTGTCAACAAAAAATAATTGGCGTTACTATGAAGATAATGCAGACGCAACACAAAAAGGCGTTTATACGTTCAAGTAGCAGTACGTATTTTCAAATTGTTTTTTTCATGTAATAGTAACAACCGAATAAAAGCTGCTGGAAAGAGAACAAAACAAACACTTTTAATAATCACAGGTATGGAAAAAAAAGAAGAAGGAAGGTTTTTGTGAGAAGTTTGTTTTGACAATTGCAGTGTGACTGAGTAACATAGCGAAGTAAAATCAAACATGATGTTTCACCATGTGTCTCCCTATTGTTAACATTCAAATTGCTATTTTAAAAAATCGCTACATTGGTAGATAAACAGAAATGACGAATCGAGTTTTGAATGTGTTCGACGACAATACTCTAAACTTTGTAATCTGAAACAATTCAACGGAAATGCCGGAGAAGAAAAACAAAATATCCAAAAATTAACTGTTTTCTTTTAAAAATCACAATGACAAAAGGTGCTTTATTCGATTATATGCCAGAGAAAATAAAATGCAAATTTTAATTCCGCCTTTTGTACAATCCAATTTTGGGGCGTAGGTATGGGCTTATCTTCATCTAGAAATTCATTCACACTCGTACACTATACTCAATAGCGTCATTCAAAAACATATATTCTTTAAAAAAAACACTTTTTCATCAATAAAAGCTGAATTTAAGAAATAAACTTTCATAAAATAGTTTGAAAAATTATGCCAAAGCAAAACTAAAATGTCGAAAGGGACAATGTTATAAATAAATTAGTGTTTTCTTTTTCTACGATGAATATGTTCAACGAACAATAACAATACAAGAGTAACACAAGAATCTCAAAAGATCGTTCAAAACGAATGCATCGCATTGGCTGACATTTCATCAAATGATGCTCACTAGACAAAAAAGTATTCTGTTGCTTTTTTTTCGGTAGATTTTTTATTTCAGCGATTCCTTATTGAATGAACTGTTTAATTCAAACAATAGGTTGTTTGATGACCATAGCATTGAAGTTGAATAGATTGACAAGCAGTGATACACGATGAACAGCCATTCGTAGTAGTGACTTCATAATAATGATATCCAGTTGATAATTGACACGAGCATCCACACCGTAACGTTCCAATTGGTAAAGTCGCTGTAGAAGAAATCGATCCCACGCAATTGCCTTGAGTTTGACCAAATTGACTGTTTACACAAACATGTGGATATTGCTTACTACAAGCTATACTACATGTACCAACTTGACATGAGAAAGCATTTGTATTACCGATGAATGCAGGTGTACATAGATAAGAGCCTGTATTACAACAACGGCATTCACATGTAAATGGACCTCCAAGCATTGGTGCACTGGTAGTGGTTGTTGTTGTTGTTGCTGCACATTTTCCAATTACTTGACCATTTGGAGGCGTAACGTTACACTGATAGTATCGTACTTTACAAGCTGCTACACATGATGCATCAGTACATTGTTGTGCGTCAACTAAACTTGGCATTGGGGATGGTTGACATCCTTGACCAAAACAACACGAACACGAACATGGATATGACCGAACGTGTGCAATAGTTAAAAGTAAACTAGAAAGAGCTACTAGTTGCATGAAATACATGATATGTGAGTATCGTTAGTGCGTTGTCTGATGCTGCCGGGATGAAAAATTTGAAATGAAAAGTATCATATGAATGCAAGTTTAAAAAGAAATCTTCTTCAAATAAAAAAGCCATGATTGACAATCAATTCTGACAATCGTCGAATGATGAATATTTAAATCGTCTCCTTTTGATAGAAATCAATTTTTCATCTTCAGAACAAAATAATGCTTCGTCTTTTTTCAATTAAAGTTTCAATGGGGTCACAATGCACTATTACGTACTTATTTGGATAGTCATTTTTATTGAAAAGATGGTTAGATAATTCTGAGAACTACATCACCTGTAGTAACCAGTATAAAACATAAGTTTGGCAATGGAAAAGTCCAATCATCATCGATATGTTTCTCGCCATAGTAATTGCCATCTGTCTTTCACTTGTTAGCAAATCATTTGCTTCTGAATGTCCAAAAATTGTTACTCAGAAGGATTTTAATGCAACAAGAGTTCGTCAACTTTTTTTCTGCATTTTTGTTTTGTTAATTTGGATATTTCCAGTATTTAGGTCTCTGGTACGAAATAGAAAGAAATAATATTATTTTTGAAATTGCATCCAAATGTGAAAATGCTACCTATACAGACAATCACAACGGAACAGTAGGTGTCTATAATCAAGCTGTTACAGCCTATGATGGTTATTATACCATACATGGTGTTGCCGTAGTAAAAGATCCTTCAGAACCAGGTGCTTTAGAAGTTATTTTTTCTAATCCTCGTAAGATTATTTCTTTTACTTTTTCGCCAATATGTAATTAATTTTCTTTTCTTTTTTTTCTACAGCTCGAAAAGGTGATTACAATGTAATCACAACGAATTACGATGAATATGCTCTTGTTTATGCTTGCCAGTCAATACCCATTCTTAGCTATAAACTTGAATTTATATGGCTTCTTTCGTAAGTATTACTATTATCAATAAGTAAATATTTCAAGGGATTTTTACTTAAGGCGAACAAAGTCATTATCGCCTTCACGGATCAATGAATTGAAAAAGATTATACAAGACATGGGAGCTGATGTTAACAGTGTCAAACCAACTACACAAAATTGCTGATCTTTCAATTTTTTTTTGTATCATCTAGACCTAATAAAATAAAAACTATCCAAGTCATTCATCTGTTATTTAAAAAAAACGCATGTATAGCTTCTCGTGTGAAAAACCGATCTAAGTACTGTTGACTAATTTATGAATAGAGAACAATGACGAGTCGATGTTTCAATTCAACGAATTCTCTTGTAACTCTTTTAAACTTCAGTTACTGTTATTTTTCAACGAACCGTTGTTAACAATGATCAAAGAGTACTTTATATTGGTTAACCAGATGTTTGAAGGCCAAACTTTCTATCAGAATCTATTTAATATAAAAACAATAGACTTCGTACGATGAGGTCAACATGTGTTACTGTCTGCAAGTTTTTTCAAATATACTCTGTATAAACGAACATATTGTTCTGCAAAGTTTGATATGATAGATTTGTTTTTTATCTCATTTGTTGAAGGTCGATATGATTCATCAACTTGGATACTGATGACGTTTGAATAACTAAAGATTAAGATAAACAGAAATGTTCGAAAGGCTTTTATTCAGCTTTAAAAGCGCAAATAATGAAATTTTGATAAGCTTCCATTCTTTTCAGAATACTCGTTGGGTGAGAATCATGTAATAGTAACCTATATGAAAAATGAAGATATAGTCAAATTTCGATAATGATTTTAAATTTGGTATTGAAAAAAGCCTATTTAGATTATCATTTTACAATCTAATGAAACATTTTTATCTTCAGGCAATTTTAAATAGGTTTAAGAGAGTTCTGTAGATCCGACAGCTATTTCGGAAAGTTTCACAAATTGATTAGCTTTTATTCAGACGAAAATTAGCTCACCACACTTTTCAATCTAATCGCATCTATGTCATTGTTACCGCATTCTGACTTATCTATTATTTGCAAAAACTTAAAATAACGTATCAAAATATTATTATTTGCCGTTTGTCGTCGAAAGAAAAGAAGCATGTTATCACAGTAATCAATATTTAAAAAAATATTGACACATCGAACATTTGCTTTTGTCTTATTAAATAGCGTCAAAGTCAGCAATGCTCTTACCGATATGAAGAAATACGACAAGGATTCAATTTAAAATAATGTACGAGTGATAATTACCAAACAAAGCAGTACTTGAATTAGTTCATCAATGAGCCTTATTCCGAATTCGCTTATAAGCCTCCAGCCAATAAAAGTAGAGATGAATGTATGTCGCTTATCACTAAGAGCGGCTTCTCTTCTTTGATTTTTTCTTGACATCTTTTCATCTCCTTTCCGTAACAAACATGAGAATAAATAGTTATTCTTCCTTTTAGAAACCTTTCGAGAACATTTTAGAAATGCATTTCAAATAATTTTAAGTTCAATGAAATTAAAAATATATATAAAATATACGAAGAAGGCAAAGATTCATACAAAATGTTGTTCAAGTTAATCTTATGTGACAGTAAGATAAATTGTCTGATACATAGTTGATCTTCTCATTTGAGCACTACATTTTGCTGCAATCGTTAGCTCGATATACCGACGAGAAGCAACAATATTCTGTAAAAAGGGATTTTTAAAAGCCATATTTCTATTTCACAGTGCTTCACGATCTAGATGCCCGTCGCCGGCCAGAACAGGAGAAAAGTATTCAGTAATATTGCTAGCATCAACGTTCGACACTCGTCTATAGTCGACGTTTGCAGTAAAAGATGAACTTCATGATCATGGCATGCTACCTTACAAAATCAAGTGTTAAAAAAGAAAACGCGGAGTATATATACTGTTCGTCTTGTCCCATTGTCGCACATCCTTTTATCTAACGAGTTAATGAAATTAAAATATAAAAGGATACACGTGTGGTATATTAATTAGCTTTCACGAAACAATCTACTTCTTCCTATGTTATTTATTATTATGAAAAAGAAACGAAAAGATATTCGGAAGGAAAGAAAAAAAGAGTAATCGCTCTTTGTGATAAACGACATACATTCATCTCAATTTTTATTGGCTGGAAGCTTATAAGCGAATTCAGAATAAGTCTCATTGTGAAGAATTGTATTTTATTATTTGTGGATACATATTGATATATCATTCGAACTGAACTTGTTGTAACTGATAAAAACTAATATTTTTATTGTTGATGTCTTTAAATGTCTATGCTCAAATATGTTATTCAACTTACAGTGAATAGATTAACTTTCAACTTTTCATTGATGGTTTATCTATTCAATATTTTCAAAATTCCATTTAGCTAACTAAGAACTAGATATGATTACAGAATGATTTGTACCGTTCAATTATTGCTTGCTAGTTTGAATCGTATTTTAAAGGACAAAAATATTTTACTTTTTTTTTGTTAGCAAGATGCAGATCTAGTTTGGAGTAGTATCTTAGCAACAATAAACGCTAAATAATTTAATTTATTTTTCTCTATAAAGTATACGAAAACTGCTCATAAAAGATGAAATAGTATTTTCTGACTCTTTTAAAAGTTTATAAAATTAATTGTTCATAAATTTCTATCGACAAAAAATTTCATAAAATAACGAAGAACATATTTCGTATAGCAAACACTGAAACTATTCATTTCTCTAATAAGCTTAACATAATTTTTTTAGCATGTTAGAGACATTTTCAAACTGTTATTCTTAATTCTGTATATGTTTTCTATAATCAAATATGTTTTATGTATTTTACAATATTTATTCTCTTGTAATTATTTTATGTAGACAATTGTGAAAAATTATTTGAATTACTCGATTCATTTGGGGAGTCGAATCGTCGTAAAGTTCAATATGTTTGGCCATTACAAATGATGTTATTAGTTTTATGTCCAATAATTCTCGAAGAATTAGTTTATGCATTAGAAAAAGGTGGTCCTTGTTCAGCTGAACATTTACGTAAAAGAAATTTTGTTGATGCATTAAAACGTCAACTACATGCACAAGTATTAGGTAAACAACATTCAGCTGGTGGAACTGAATCTGCAGCTGTTGTTACATTTGTTAAAATATGTAAAGCAGCTACATACATTAATAATAAAGATTCAAATAATGTTTTGTTTGTTATGGTACAATCAGTTATTGGTGATTTAAAACAAATATTATTTAATCCATCGAAACCATTTTCACGTGGTCAAGATAAAATTAATTTTGATTTAGAATTAATGATTGAGTTTTTTCTGGCTTGTCTCAGATTAAATCCACATAATAATGAAGTTCTAAAAGTTTGCTTAAATTTATCATCACCAGCAATGTTTCATTATGTATTGGTGAAAGCACTCTATAGAATCATAACACAAAAACGTTTAGCTTGGTGGCCACAAATTGATATTGTTTATTCACGTGCTGGAGAATTACGAAATATGTTTACAGATACATTAAATAAAGTTTCACAATCATCAACATTTTCAACAACACCACTAAGAATCTCAGGTATCACAGGTGTTAGTACATTGAAAGATATTTTATTTAATCCACAACAATTACGTTCACAATATCCACAAGCATTTAAATCAAAAACATCCGATCGATTAGCTTATGACGAAGGGCCAAATAATCGTGAATTACTTTTGTGGATTGTACGTTTAATTATAGTTGATCCATATTTAATGTTACATAATCCAAATAAACTCGATCACGAGACTCAGATGTCAACATTTGAATTAATAAATGGTCTTGTGTCTCTTGTACATGATACATCAATGATGCCTGATGTTGCTCATACAGCTATGGAATCTTTATTAGTTTTACATGAAACACGAAATATTGAATTGTGGAATCCAGAAGCATCAATAAATACATTTTGGTCAATATCAAGTCAAGTACTTTTTTCTATATCACAAAAATTAGTTTTGCATCAAATCTATGAGTATACATCTGTACTACGGTGGTTACGAGAAATTCTTATTTTACGTAATGCATTTCTTTTACATCACAAGGATAATGCTTATCTTGGTTCAAATATTCCCATGGCTAAACATGCACATACAAAACTTGAAATTGTCTTTTTTATTTATCTATGGTCAATTGATCCCGAAGCCGTTAAAATTGCTATGTCATGTTTTGCTTTATTCGCCTATGAAGCTGATATTCGTTTTGGTTTTGATGAAGCAGCTGTGTTAACACTTCTACCGAATTACAATATTTATATGGAACTATCAGCAGCATCAACAACATTTATTACAACGGGAAGGAATGCTTTACAGAAAAAAATTCTTTCTCTATTAAGACGTATTGAATATGCAACACCAGGAAATAAACAAGCTTGGTATGATACTTTTGTTAGTCAACAACATTTAGCTAAATTTTTGGCAATTTATCCGAAACGAGTTGATGATTTGGGTAGTACAGGATCAACAGCTAGTTCACCATCAGTTAGTGCAAGCGAAGCAAGTGGCTTTGTAGGTGGTGGTTATGGAAAATTTGGCAAAAGACGAACTGGAGTTCATTCAAGTGAACATGATATTGAAGTTTGATATTTATAATAGCAATTTAAAACAATATATTTATGAATTGTTGTTTTTTTTCAGGATGTTTTTCATGAATGGGCAAATATGACTGGATTTTTATGTGCACTAGGAAGTGTTTGGTTACCAGTCAAAAATCGACCTGGGTAAGCAATTATGTAGTTAAAATATAACTTTTAGTTAGTACTCTAATTCAATCGGATCCAGTTATTAGAAAATCTATTTATTGCCAACTTTCGATGTCTAATTTATTTGTGGTTCATTTCAAACATAGTATTAATAATCTTATGCGAGTCAATAATATTCGTATATGTCATACTATGACAAATGTACTATCAGTTAAATAGATCGAAACACATAGCTGCTAGTTCATCATATAACATGTTAGCTTTAAATAAATTTACCCTAATAGATGTACAAACATAGAACAAGACCGACTATATAAACTTATTGTATGTAGATTTTTTTTATACCTATGAACAATCAAATCAAAGCGACATATTGATTTTGTCGCAAATATCTTTTTCATGTGATATTCATTGAAATCAATCAAAAAATAAAAAGTCTACTTATTAACAACAGAAAAAAAAGAATAGATTTTCATTGTCAGCTACATCCAATAAAATGAATCAGACAGTATGAAATCGTTTGACAAGTTACTTGCTTCGAATATTTCGAAATATTTATTCATTGCGCAAAATATGATAGCAACATGTTGAGATCAACATCAAATAGTAGCGTGTCAACTTTTATGTTCGTTAACAATTAATCAATTGAATAGTTGATCAATAAAACAATTTACTCTAGTACAGTGTAGACCAACTATGAATAGACTGTCTAATATAACAATAGAATTGTGATATTTTAATCGAGTCGTAAAATAATACATGTATTCTGAAGTTGACTTCAAACTTTTCATATTGCAAATTCAAAGAAAATATGTTCTTTATTATTTTTAATTGTAATTATAATATTATTTTCTATTGCTCGTCAAAGTGAAGGTCGAGCATAGAATAAGATAGTTATTATAAGTTTTCTTATGTAGTTCATTTGATAGAAAAAAATTTTATTTTTTATTTTATTGATTTAAATTTTTTTGCAGTACACATGGAATTCCAGCTGATACTCGACGTACATCTATGGAACCAGTTAGTTCCGATCTTCATTATTGTCCTGTAACACAGTAGGCTTTCGTTTAATGAATATATTGAGTTTTTAAATCTAATTTTAATAAATAGATTTATTGGTGACAGTTTAAAATATTTGGTTTGCCAAAATGAAAAATTTGGTATTCAAATTCAACGCCATATTCAAGATTTACTTGGTCATGAACTGAATCCATTATGTTATCCAATACTATTTGATCAAATTAAAATTCAAGTTGACAAATTCTTTGATGCTAATGGTCAAGTTATATGTTCAGAACAGAATACTCAATTTATCGATAATGTTATTGTTATAATGCGTTCTGTTTTTGAAATGAAAGCTCAACAAGCTGTTCAAAATGCATTAGAAGGGCCAGCAACAACAACTGGCTCATCAAATACCTTAGGCGTTGTTCCAAATAATAATACTGGATCACCGTCATCAGTCGTTAATAGTTCATCAAATGATCCAAATTCAAGTTCAACTAGTGGAACTGGACGTAATGGATCGCAACAAACAAATGAAAATCTATTGGCTAATGTTAATAGTTTAGAGCAGCTTGTTTTAAATATTGTTCGGTATGCACGACAATTAGATACAAGTGTTGCTGCTGTGGCTATTCGAATACGTGTTTGTCAACTCGTCGAATCAATGATGAAGAGGCGTGATGATTTATCATTTAGACAAGAAATTAAATTTCGAAATAAACTTGTAGAATATTTAACTGACTGGATTATGGGAAATTCGCATCAATTTAATCAAGTATAAATTTTTATTAATAACAAGAAAACAAAAACCACCGCTTTTTATTTAACTAGGTTCATGCATTAGGTCAATCAGCAGCTGGCGTTGGTGTTGGCAGTGGTGTCAATGTAACAACATCTCAATTAGTTGTTGATCAATATCAACATTTAGCACGTGAATTAGATCAAGCATCAATGGAAGCTGTCGCTACATTACTTCATTCACTTCCATTACAACCGGAAGAAAGTGATCGAGGTGATCTAATGGAAGCTAAATCACAATTATTTCTTAAATATTTCACTTTGTTTATGAATTTATTAAATGATTGTGGTGATGATTTAAATGATGATCAAAGTTCATTATCTGATCATCAGCAAACAAACAATGAACGTCCAACATCGAATATAACAAATCAAACACAACAACAACAACAGCAGCAGCAGCAGCAGCAACAACAACAACAATCACAATTGATCAATCAAATGCAACAGAAACAGCAATCATTAAGAAATTCAACTATTGTTGCCATGTCAAATTTACTTGCTGCAAATATTGAAAGTGGTCTTATGAGAAGTATTGGTACGTTAAAAGTTTTTAATATATTTTTCTTTTTTGTTATCAAAAACTGTTTGTTCAGCTTTGGGTTATCATCGTGATCCACAAACTCGAGCAGCTTTTATGGAAGTTTTAACAAAAATTCTTCAACAAGGCACTGAATTCGATACTTTGGCTGAAACTGTTCTTGCTGATCGATTTGAAAGACTTGTCGAACTCGTTACTATGATTGGCGATAAAGGAGAATTACCGATTGCTATGGCACTAGCCAATGTTGTGTCACCTCAGTATATGGTTAGTTTTTACATTTGTTTTACTTTATACATAATAGAAATCATCGTTCTGTTTAAAGAACAATTCAAAGGCGCTATTCATAATGATATTTAAAGATTATTTCAGAGTTTAACGATAATTTCGATTAAACCATTTGTAAATCAATATGAAAGTAAGAATAGATATAGAATGGTGAAATCAATGAAGATTTTGATTTAAATATCTACTCACGAAAGCAGTTAATGATCTAAACTTTACACTTATGAAAAAAACAAAAATACGATAATATGTCTATATATAAGATCAGTCAATATCTGAGTAGTTTAGTCACGTTTAGAAACAAATTCAATCTGTATTTTCGCCGACTAACCATTGATACCAATATGAATAGATTAGATGAATTGATCTAAGATCTATATTGGTACACTGAATTCTAGTTTACTTTTCATTCTATTTTTTTAAATTGATTATATGTATTGCAAAGTTGAAAACAGATTTTGTTTTTCATTTTAATTTCATAGTATTCGACAAAAAGATGTTCAGAGTTCTATTTCACATAGTTGAAAATCACAGTAAACTAGTCGTTACCATTGTCAAATTACTAAAAGATTGAATTCAAACGCTTTAAACTCTAATACTTACATACGTACGCAAATCGATAACCGATATTGATTTGAACTCTAATTCTGTTGATTAAAAAGATGAGAAAAAGTGTGATATGTGAAAATATTCTTTTCATTTTTTTGTTTCGATGGTATTGTTCATTTATTATTTCCTATGAAGTTTTATTGGAAGATTAATATCTGCAATTGACCATTTGAATAAATATAAAGAAAAATATCTACTATTTCCATTGTAGGACGAATTAGCTCGTGTGTTCGTAACAATATTTGATGCAAAACATTTACTACATCAATTGTTAATAAATATATTTGCAAAAGAAGTTGAAATGGCTGATTGCTATCAAACAATATTACGTGGAAATGGTTTACCAACGAAAATTATGTCATTTTGTTTTAAACTCTATGGTTCACATTACTTATACAACTTATTCGCACCAATATTATCAAAAATGATTATAGCTGATTTGCGTTCATATGAAGTTGATCCATCACGCATTGAACAACACGAGCAATTAGATGAAAACAGAAAAAACTTACGTTTATTGGCACATGATGTTTTTCAAGCTATTATTGATTCATCTTCACAATTTCCAATTCAACTAAGAATTTTATGTTCATGTCTATATCAAGTTGTTCAACAACGATTTCCACAACATCCATTACAAGTAGAAAATATTTTATTTATTTTAGAAAGAATTGATTTTGTCTAACCTTATAGGCTGTATCAACTGTTATATTTCTTCGTTTTCTAAATCCAGCTCTTGTTCTTCCGCATGAGTTTGGTATCGTCGATGCTGAACCATTACCGCGTATAAAACGTGGTCTAACACTTGTATCGAAAATTCTACAAAATATAGCAAATAATCTAATATTTACAAAAGAATTTCATATGCGTTGTTTCAATGATTATCTTCGTTCGACATTTGATGCAGCAACAAATTTTGTTTTATCAATAAGTGAACCAATTAATTTTACAGCAATAATTCCATCGGATGAATGTCAACCAATTGAAAATAGTATATTAGATTCAACAGCACCGTCACCAACATATCCAATGTCTTATATAAGTGATGCTAATGTTTTAGCATTGCATCGACTTCTTTGGTATCATCAAGAAAAAATTGGAGATTACTTATCAAGTGGAAGAGATCATAAAGCGATTGGACGAAGACCTTTTGATAAAATGGCAACACTATTGGCTTATTTAGGGCCACCTGATCATAGACCATTGGATTCACAATGGATTTCATATGATATGACTGCAACCAAATTCGAAGAACTTATGGCCAAAACACAAATGCATGAAAGAGAAGAATTCAAATCATTGAAAGCTCTCAATATATTCTATCAAGTTAGTTGAGGAATTATTTTATGACTTAAAACAGATGTTTTATTTATCATTCAAATATGGTTTATATTTCTAAAAATTACATCAAAAATTTCAGAAAACTTTTCAACATGTGTTGTCTCATTACATAAGTGATGATGATGAAGTTTTCTTGCAGTACTTTGTAGGTAGATGTCAAATAGCTTAGTCACTACGTCATGTTAAAGACTGAAAAAGTGATTTATAACTCGTTACTCATCAATTTATTATTTGATTATATTTTCTAAAGCTTTCCTTCAATTCAAGACCCTTAAAATTCATATATAAAACGATATTTTTTATAGAAGTTTGAAACTTAATCGCGATTTAAGGTTAATTTTATTCCTTTGGGTGTAAGAAAAAAAGAACTGAAGTCTTCTTCTTTTTTTGATATTTTTTGTTTGTTTCATAGTTTTCATCGTTGAGCAAATAGAAATCATCTTTTCGAAGAAATATGAGATATCAGTTTTTTTTCATTTTAATTAATATGATTGCTCTGATTATATTTGACTTTCTTATAGAAATCAATAAATAAATAATATTATTTTATTTTTAGGCTGGCTTTAGTAAACAAAATAATCCCGTATTTTATTACATAGCTCGTCGTTTTAAAGTCAATGAAATGAATTGTGATCTATTAATTTATCATGTATTATTAACGTTAAAACCATTTCAAGCAAAACCATTCGAATTAATTGTTGATTTTACTCATACTTGTACCGACAATCGCTTTAAAACTGACTATTTATCAAAATGGTTTATCTGTATGCCTGACTGTTTCTATTATAATCTTCAAGCGTGTTATATTTATAATTGTAATTCATGGGTACGTGAATATACAAAATATCATGATAGAATTTTATCAACAGTCAAAGGTTCAAGAAAATTAATATTTCTTGATCATATATCACGTTTAAATGATTTTATTGAAATCGATCAACAAAAGTTACCTGGACATACATTATCACTTGAAGAAGATCTTAGAGTATTTAATAATGCATTAAAATTATCTCATAAAGATACAAAAGTAGCCATTAAAGTTGGCCCACAAGCTATACAAGTAACATCAAGTGAAAAAACCAAAGTTCTTGGACATAGTGTTCTACTTAATGATGTTTATTATGCATCAGAAATTGAAGAAGTTTGTCTTGTTGATGACAATCAATTTACATTAACTATCGCTAATGAGACAGGACCATTATCATTTATTCATAATGATTGTGATAATATTGTTCAAGCTATTATTCACATTCGAACAAGATGGGTAAGATTTCTTTTTTATTTTGAAAATCAAATATTTACTTAATTATTATTTTTTTTTGAAGGAACTTGCTCAACCTGATTCAATACAAATTCATAATAAAATTCGTCCCAAAGATGTTCCAGGAACATTGTTAAATATTGCATTATTAAATTTAGGTTCACTTGATCCATCATTACGTTCTGCAGCTTATAATCTTTTGTGTGCATTAACACAAACATTTGATTTACGTATTGAAGGACAATTACTTGAATCATCAGGTCTTTGTATACCGTCAAATAATACAATATTTATAAAAACAATATCAGAAAAATTAGCATTAAAAGAAGCACATTTAACATTAGAATTTTTAGAAGAATGTATTGAAGGTTTTAGAAATTCAACCATTGAATTAAAACATCTTTGTTTGGAATACATGACAACATGGTTACCGAATTTAACAAGATTTTGTAAACAAAATGATGATAATAAACGAGCAAAAGTCTCCATGATACTCGATAAATTAATAACATTAACAATTGAAGAAGATGATATGTATCCATCAATACAAGCTAAAATATGGTCACATATTGGGCAAGTTAGTGATCTATTAGATATTGTTTTAGATTGTTTTATAAAACGATCTGTACTTGGTGGTCTTGGATCATTACCAGCTGAAATTTTAGCTGATACAGCTGTTGCATTAGCTAGTTCAAATGCTTTATTATTTTCACGAAAAGTTATTGGACGTTTGTGTCGTTTAATTGAAAAAACATGTTTGTCACCAACACCAACATTGGAACAACATTTAATTTGGGATGACATTGCAATTTTACTTCGTTATTTATTAATGCTTTCATTCAATAATTCACTTGATGTTGCATCGCATTTACCATTTTTATTTCATATTGTAACATTACTTGTAAGCACAGGTCCATTAACATTACGAGCATCAACACATGGCCTTGTTATTAATATATTACATTCACTATGTACATGTTCTCAACCACAATTTAGCGATGAAACTCAACGTGTTTTACGTTTATCGCTGGCCGAATTTTCTTTGCCAAAATTTTATGCATTATTTGGTTTATCAAAAGTCAAATCTGCAAGTGTTATTGCATTTCGTACTGGTATAATACGACAACAACAACAACAACAACACTCAAGTCAAATTTTACCACAAGATAAACAACAACAACAACCGCAACAGCAACAGCAACCACAACAAATTCTAACAGGACGTTCAATGACAATAACAAATACTTATTCACCAACAATTGAACAATCGGAAAGAATGAGTTTAACATCGCTTGAAACAATAACCGATACTTTATTAGAATTAATGGAAGCTTGTATGAATGATATACCTGATTGTGAATGGTTAGCACAATGGCAAGAATTAGCTAAACGTTTTGCATTTCAATTCAATCCTGCCTTACAACCGCGAGCTATGTAAGTTTTTTTCTTTCCTCATTGAGTTCTTTTCTTTAGAAAGACTTGTGTTTTTAAGTATTGTTTACGGTTGTATATCAAAAACAACAAGTGATAGAGAAATAAAAACATTATTACGTATACTGGTCAAAGCTCTTGAATCATTTTCGGATATTGATTTAATTGATTCAATAATAATGTGTTTAACACGTTTATTACCATTATTATCACCTGAATCAAAAATACATAAATTTATGTTTTGGATAGCTCTATCAATTCTTCAATTAGAAGAAACACAATTATATGCATCTGGTTTAGCTTTACTCGAACAAAATCTTCATACACTGGATCATATGTTAAGTTTATTTGAAAATACAAGTGCACATCAACAACAAACTCTAGAAAAAATCATGATGGATGCTAGAGAACCATTAGAATGGCAATTTAAACAATTAGACGCTAGTATGGGCTTATCATTTAAATCAAATTTTAATTTTGCACTTGTTGGACATCTTATCAAAGGTAAAAAAAAGTGATTGTCTCTTTTCTTAAATCAGTTTTCCATTAGCATCCCGTAATTTATATTCTTGATAAACACCATTTTTATTTTCTATGGTCGGTTGAATATAAGCACATCCACTCCAATTATTATTTTCCATTGTAGTATTATTATTACTTTTTGTTCCATGAATACAAATATAATAAGGCACTGTTGAAGTAGTCAATTCTTGTTCATCGATGCGAACTGCAATACTTGATATAATGTCGAAATAATGTTTTGTTGAAGGTAAATTATAACAACGTTGACCAAAATAATTTGATTCTTCATTGTTATATAAACGATACCACTCACTTTTGATTCCATCGCGAGCTGTCAAACGAATTGAAAACCCTGTATCATTTTGACTTAAAAGAAATCAAATTTAAGAAAACAAATTTTAATAAATCTTACCTGATGTTTGAATTCAATACGATATGAGCTTGTAAAAGTACGTTTACCGTATAGAAATTTTCATTATCATCATCATCCAGAGTATAATCCTCGTTTAACAATAATGTTTCATTGAAAGCATTAACAGCTATTGAAATGACTATAGCATAGACAAAGTAGAAGAAAATATTTTGTTTCATATCTATCATTCAACTAGTAAATAACAAACAATGGATCGTTGTGTTGTCTTATATAGACTGACCATGGAATGTTGTTCTTCTTGTCTATTTTATCAATGATCTAGAAATCTGATGAATATCAATAAAATGATTGATGATTGCTCTTCAAAATGCATTTTTGATTTATTTTTAGGTTTCCGTCATCCAGTCCAATCAACTGTAGTTCGAACTACTCGTGTTCTTTCTACTCTTCTTAGTATTACCGCAAAATCTGAATCTCATGATAAATTTAAAGTAACACCAACATCTATACCATATTTAGCAGCATTAGTTAGTGTTGTTGAAGAAGTTCGTACTCGATGTCCGATTAAAAATCGTTCGAATATATTTTCAACAACAACAACTTCTACTAACTTACCATCATCACATTATTCCACATCAGCCGTGAATCCATTATCCCATTTATCGCAATCACATTCAAGTACATCGATTGTTGATATAGCTGGTTCAACATCACTGAATGTTCAACAAGGAATTTTTACTCGACGATTAAAGTCTTGGGATTCATCTTACTTAGATAAAACAAGAAAAATTAGCGGAGTATCAACAATCAACACTTCACGTTTATTATCTATTCCACCACATGCCAGATATTATCAATCAATTGATATTGAAAATGCAATCCCACGTATTCTTACAAAACCAGCTTCCACACTTGTTCAATTGCAGCAAGTCAAACAATCTGTACCAGCTATTGCAGTTACACCACAAATTTTACCTGAAACACAGCAAACATCTGAAGTAATATACGAGAAATTTTAAATATAGCTTTGAACGAAAATGAATTCTTTTTTTAAAAATATTTACTAACTATTCAAACAATATCAATTATTATTAATTGATATTGAACTAGATCATTTTTATGGTGATCTCGAAAAATCTCAATTAGAAAATGATCGTAAATAATGTATTTGAATTATTTCATTAATTTGAGATCAAAAGATACTTTATTTATTCTTGTGTTCATACTAAATAATTCAAGTCATCTATAAATTTTACAATATGAGACCTTAATCTAATCAAATGAATTATGAAAAGAAGTGTAACAATATAAATAATCTGCCCAAATATATTTCTATGCCATATTTTTCTGTATGTCGTGATCTCAAAAAAATTAGTGATACTTAAAGTCATAAAACATCATCAACTATAAGTTACAAATTTTTCTCGTTATCAGCGTTATTTTCATGTATCCTATATGGGAAAGCAAATTCTATTTGATAATACAGATTGAAGAATATAGCTACGCTATTTATCTCTGTGCTTGTCGCTTTGACAAAGATTTCTAGTCGTTCATCGTTGAATTGTTTAACTTAAATTGAACTCTTGTGAAAGACTTATTAATAAGTAAACATTATATTTTGTTAAATTATAATATAAATATTCCACTTTATTCTTCGATTTTGTTTTAGGCAAGTTGTGAAACAAATTTATTATTAGATCCAGATATTTTAATAGATACATCAACACAAGCACTTTTATTAACCGTATTGGCAACACTTGTACGTAATACATCGGATGAAAATGAAATGAGAATATTATATGAATATCTATCAGAATCAAGTATCGTATTTCCAAAAGTATTTCCGGTTATACATAATCTATTAGATGCAAAAATAAATTCTGTTCTTTCATTGTCACATGATGAATCAATATTAGCTTCAGTTCAAGCGATAATATACCAAATGATAGCTTGTTCAGCTGGTGATGATGCAAGTCAACAACAACAACAACTGAGTTATTTGCAATCGTGTGGCTTTGGAGGTTTATGGCGTTTTGCCGGACCATTTACTGTATCAAGACAAAACCCTGATAATGTTGAATTATTTGTTAATTGGCTAGAAGCAATGGTTGAAACATGTTTACCATCATTAGATGATCATGAAGATGATTCAGGCAATAGTGGAGTTGGAAGTGGGCTAACTGGGAACAATTGTACACGACATACATCATTACATCATCATCATACATTTCGGCATCATCATCATCATTATTCTGCTTCATCAGCAGCAGTTTGTCTTAATGCCAATTTGTCCTCGTCATTATCAAGTGTTTCAATAGGTGAGACATATTTTATATAACTACAAATAAATTGATTATTTCATATATATTATTATTAATAGATTCGATTCGTTCGCCAACAGATCGCGATACGCAATTTTTTGATTTGAACGATCTCAATCGACCAACACAATCTCAATCACAAAGTGAAAATTATGAAAGATCTCGTATAACACAAAAGCCGAATCTCATTTAAATATATACTAGTCGTTGTTTCTGTCATTCTAAATGTTGTAAATTATTGTAACTATATTTTAATCTCTTTATTTTTCTTTCATGTCGTATTTCAATGTTTAAACATATATGCTTTTAATGAATAAAATACTAAAAATAAATATCTACATACATACAAATATGAATCAATAAAGGATTTCTTTGTAGTAATGTCTTCAGGTGTTTATCAACCATACATATTTGTAAAAAAAGAACAAAAACCATTAATAGATGAAAATGCAACAACAGATTCTGATCGAAAAATTTTCTCAGTGATTGATCATTTGATGGGTACACGAAGAAAATGGACTGGCATTAATGATGGTTTAATTCTAAGTGATGGGTCAGGAAGAATACCAGGAATGGGTTCGGCTGGAATGGCGCCAGAAGAATTACGCGTGAGAAAATTTATGGAAAGTTGTACATTTAAAGCAATGATAAGTTGTGCTGGTGGTAAGTTTTTATATTCGATTGAAACTACTAAAGTTTTGAGAATTTTTTCAAATATTTTTTTTCTCAAAGGCTTTGTATTGGGTATTGGTCTTGGTGTATTTACAGCGAGTATTGATCCTATGTCAACGATTCACACAACAACACCAGGTGCGACGCCAACATTAAAAGATGTTTGGCGCGAAATGCGAACTAGATCAATGAGTTATGCAAAAAATTTTGCAATGGTTGGATTAGTCTTTAGTACAGTCGAATGTAACATTGAATCTGTATGAAATTTTTGTTTTCACTAAGCAACGAAAATTTCTATCATCTTGATTTTAGTATCGAGCAAAATCTGATATACGAAATGGAACTTATGCTGGTTTTGTTACTGGTGGTTTGCTTGGACTTCGTGGTTAGTTTTACTAAAGTTTAAAAACCTAAATTAAACGAAATCTTGTGCAATTTTTGTTTTTAGCTGGATTTCAAGCGAGTGTTTATGGTGCGGTCGGTTTTGCTGTGTTTTCAACGGCTATTGAATATTTTCTTTTGAATTATCATTGAACGACCTTTGTTTTTTTTGTTTAGAATAAAAATAAATGAAGAAATAAAAAGAATTAAGTAACTTATTTCAAGATAATCTGACGATGTTTTTTTTTAATCCCGACATGACCAACTTGCAATCGTGTATATCGCCGTCAGTGTCATAACACTGTTAGATAGTTCATAATATTGCTTAGATGAACCTACTTATCTTTCAGATATTATCAAATGAAGACCAGTTCTGTGAGTGACTTATATCCAGTTTTCTTCGCTCTATCCGATGGTGTTATCAGATTTTTTCTAGTCTTTAAAAAAGCTTCAGGATTTCACAGGATTTTATAAAGATTTTCTGTGATGTGTGGAAAAGCCAAGCAAGTCAAATTCTGTCGAATCCAAATCTAGAATTGGATTTGGTACATCCATAGTTCTCATCCTCTTTATTTGTTGAATATTAATGATTTTATGGCCTGGCTCCTCTAGGATCAGTCATGCTATTAGAGCCCGTCGGGTCCAGGAATTTTGGAACCGGGGCCTGACTCAGACCTGAACTCGGTATTACCCGGTCGCACCGTACATAGGATACTGAATAAAATATCTTAATCAGAGTTGAATAATCGAAGTCGCTCGGAACAAGAAGTGTTTTTGTCTAAAATAAAGAGCAGTTAAAAAGGAAGATATCTACACCCAATGATGAACAATATTTAATTATTGAAAACAAAGACAATTCTTTATCGTCCACAATGATCAAAAGAACAAAACAAATAGTGACAGTGATTATTCTTCGGATAATATTGATAGTAGAGTTGTCAAACCTCTTGATTTAGGCAGGAGAATCCTGACTTTTAGACTTTTCTCCTGGTACCACGAGTTGTTTTTTAGGGATTCCTCCTGGTTTCATAATTTTTTTTCACTGTGAAGATTAATGACATTTTGAATCACTAACGTAAGACAAGTCAATAAAGGGAGAAGAAGCACTATTTGATGAATGAAGCCACTAATAAAAAAATTTCTTTTCATTGATATATCTAAACTAAGATTGTTACTTTTATAAAATAATCCTATGTTAAGCGGAATGTTCGATAATGATACGTATTCATAGAACTACTTTATATCTCTAAAATGTTTCTATTGCATGTATCGCATAAATTTACAAAAGAATGAAAACAGAGAAAAATACAAAGATAGAATAAAATAAAAAAGAGAGTATGAACTCACTCACAAAAAATGGCCTCTGACAAGAAAGCAATTACAGAACATCATATAACGTATTATTCTCACATTCTTTAGTGATGACAGGTCCTTATTCTAATTTTCAACGTCTTCAATGTATTCATGAAAGAGAAATGAAATATAGATATTGACTAATACGCTGCATGATCATGATTTTAACGATCACGATAACGCGTAATTGTGAGTGATTAGAAAATTTTCTCGTGATCCTAATCACGATACAGTCTATGACTTTGTAATTACCATTGCAAGAAACACCTTCAAATTTTCCACTATTTATTGAGAAACTTAATTTTCAAATTAAGAATGAGAAAAAAAATAGCACAATGTATTTGTTGATTGAATACTAAGGTACTACATGATCGTGTGATTAGAAAAACTTATCATGATCATGCGTGATTAGAATATTTGTTCCGTGATCGTGATCAAAAACATCAATCACACAGAGCACTAGTATTCACGATACCAAAAATAAGTTATCAATTTGTTTAGCATTAGCATGACAACGTCCTAAACACGGCAAAACTTTTCGTTTACTCTCTCTTTCCCTTGAACTTAAACTTTTTACACTTTGTCTGCTTTGAATAACTTGTCAACAGTACGACACAACTATGTACATATACTTCCTTTACAAGATCGATCCTCGAAAGGTTAACATTATTGTAATAGTGGCGATGAATACAACTACAGATAAATCCAATAAGGAGTAAGAACATTCAATCAATGAATTTCATCTCTCGAAACCTTCGATATCATGAAGGAAAGCGTATTGCTTCACTCCAAAGTCGGATGAGAAAAATTCCAGACAACGGACTTTGTCACTTTTCTTTCTTTTCTTTATCATCTTATTCGACCATTAAGTATCCATTATCACAAGGAATAGACAACGCATACTTATATATATACACCATCCATCTTACTTATTAAACAAAGGACAAATTCAATCGCTTATGTATGCATTTTCGAATAACTCCTCCTTTCACCAACGAAACAAGTGCAATATACGTATATATTTTGTGCCTCCCAAATATTATTTACCCCCTTCACTGATTCTTTAGCTTTTCTAGATCCATTTCCAACAACTGTTCATTCGCAAACGGCCGCTAACGATCTTTTTAACCGTACTAATTTACTCATCGTCACTATTTATATACTGATATCTGATCAACAACATCCATTAAAATTTTTCATATTTCCTATTAAAGTTTTCAAAAACATGTAGGTTTTACTAACATCATTTGATCTATTTATTATTTTCTCAAATCTTTTCTTTAATATATTTTCATCGGCATCAATTCATATCTTTCGTCTTGTATTAATATTAAACTTTTCAAAATTTCGTTTGTTTTTTGGGTTTGTTCGTGCATATCAGTTTTTTGTTACTAGGATTCGATATGTCAGAAAATGAGGTATGTGTTCCCAATAACATGGTAGTACCGATGATGGAAACAGGTGTTAGCAGTGGGACCATTGCTTCAGATGGTTTCGGTCCGTGCATGGTGTTTTTGATGGATTTTACTTACATAAATGAGGTGATGTATTTATTAGAGCATTTTTTGTTCGACTTCGACGATAAATAAATGGCGAAGGAAGAAATTTTATCATTCATAGTGAAGGGGTTTTGTGGCAATTTAAAGGAAGCTCTCAAAAGTAAGGCACCATGTGATGATTGCTTTGGTGATCTTTTTCAAATGTAATCGACTTCTTGTAGATGGTGGCGATGTTTTGGATGCACTGAGTATCGATCTAGCGTGTCTTTTGTTTAATTGTGACATAAATAAATTAGTGATCAAAATACTTGGTGAAGACAAAGATGCAATTGTGTTGTATCAGAAAATTTTGAAGAGAGTGATTATTGCCAAATCGACTTCAAAAAATTTGCCGGATGAGGAAATAAGTGAGGGTAAGTTCTTGAAACTCTAAATATTACTTAGGGCAATCCAAAAGTAGTGACGGAGATACCTTATTTCCTCAAGCAGAGGTCGAAAAAACCTTTCTTTTTTACCCATAGATAGAGCGTGTTTCGCTCTACTTTTCTATGCTATTTGATCACTATTCAACTAATATCATAATAGTAAAATTTCGATAAGATCTGTTTCTTTCGCATATGTGCTGGTAGCATGAACACTCGTGAGTATTTTTCGAATGACGTTTAATAGCAACATGTTACAGAACTACGATTTACACTATTGAAAAGAGGAGATGAAGGCGCATCGAACTGCGAATTACTGATTTTTCTAACAGGATTTTTGAAGTGTTCTTATTGAATTTTCTAACCTTCGGAAAAATACATTTTTATGAAAGAAAGCAAAAACAAAAGAGTTGATAAAAAATCGTAGTAGAGATTCGTCTAGAATACGTATTATCCACAAATGATTAAATTTAACACCTGAATCTTTCGCAGTTTGTAAATCATCGATCAGTGGTTTGAATGGGAACCTGATTATTGAAAATTCACTGTAAACAACTCACGAGATAGGTTTGTTCTTTAAAAGGTCGACTAAGAACCTTACAAAAAACAGGTTAGAAAAATCAGTAATATATGGTGCGATGCGTCTTCATCTCCTCTTTTCAATGGTGAAAACCGTAGTTCTGTAACATGTTGCTATTAAACGTCATTCGAAAAATACTCACGAGTGTTCATGCTACCAGCACATATCCGAAAGAAACAGATCTTACCGAAATTTTACTATTAAGATATTAGTTGAATAGTGATCAAATAGCATAGAAAAATAGAGCGAAACACGCTCTATCTATTGGTAAAAAAAGAAAGTTTTTTCGATCTCTGCTGGAGGAAATATGGTATCTCCGTCACTACTTTTGGATTGCCCTAAGTAAATTAGCTATGCGTAGTAAAAGTGCTCGTCCATCTTTCGTTGTCATTGATTTATCTGCCGCATTAATCAATAGTGTACTTGCTTCATTCAATGTCGAGAATATCCACAGCTATTTACGTCGATGTTACAATACAATTGATCGTGCTTATGACACCAAGCAATTACAAAATATGACATTTCTACGATTATGTTGTTCTCATGCAATGAAGGCCTTTTCATGTAGCCTTTTGAAATTAAATGTATCCAAAGATAATCGTCATACTTTAATGTCACTTTTTGCCGTACTCTTAAATTCGACAAATTTCTATGGTGCATTAAGTTTATATGTACAGATTATCTTAATTTATGGCGATCCAAATAGCGCCACCCCTGATGGTGATTGATGAATAATTGGATCAGTTGTTATGTCAAGCTCATCAATAAAATCTTGTGTAAGTGGTTTATCATCTTGATCATCCTTTTCTTCCAGAAATGGGTTAACATCGAAGTCGGATAGATCAGATTTACTTAACAATGACTTGAGTGCATCAGGCGAAGTCTCGCTATTTGGATCGCCATAAATTAAGATAATCTGTACATATAAA